TATATATATAAGGCTGTTGACAGCTGCTTGAACTCTTCAGGAAAACTTCTGCTTCTAAACATTGTTGAATGACTTGCCAAAGAATCAACCATGAAAAAAATACATCTGTTTTATAAATTTCAAAATGGCAATGACAGAATCAGAATGTACTCTGGAGAAGGCTATAATTATCATATACAGCCTTGAAAAATTACCTGATGTTTTTCATTTACTGTTGCTTGGATTTTTAATACAGAGGTCAGTACTGCCTTGTTAGGCCTGGTGACACACCTGAATATGGAGAGCTGAGATAAAAAAGTTATGCCTTTTATAAGAGCACCAGTCTGAAAAGTGTAATGATTAGTGATGCCCAACAGCTAACTGCCTTATGGATCAAGGGAAAAGTTATTGGGAAAATCCTTTTATGAGTGAGGATATATTTAGCTTTCTGTAAATCTAAGTGGGATCCAAGCTGCTTCTTTCCAGAACAGATGCAGTCCCACAATGGATGTAGTACAACATTTGCTCTTGGGCATAGCTGAGATACAAAGAACAGTTAATAACCACCTGCATTCCGTGTAAAGCAGGCAACACATTTAGAGAAACAGATTTGCAAACATTTAATTTACTAGTGAAATAAAACTAAAAAAACTGCAGTAGGCAAGAGGACAGCCCTGTGTGAAACTTCATTGCAGGAGCAGGACAGAGGAAACACTATCCAACTAAATGAAGAACAGTAAACAAGTTTACAAGATTAAATATGTGTATTTAAATTGCAGTCACTATTCATATTTCCTATTCCGCATCAACAGCATAGCGGGTAACAGCAGGAACTGAGGATCCATAGCTTTGACAGCATTTGCATCGTAGTCTCAGGTGTCATCTCTGTTGAGTATGTTTATTTCCCATGGTTATGTTTCACAGTAGAGTGAGTAATGTGACAGCGGAGGCAGAAGTTGTGGAGACTTACTTGCTATGTATTCAGCAGTCTCCCGTCAAAACATGGGGTGTAGCACAATAAAGTTTGCTCTCTTACTATCTGTGTCAGGCTGTTTGTCAGTGAAGTATGTTAGCTGAATGTAACTATGCAGCCTCCTATGTCTGTTTGGTTGAATCACGCCTGACACCGAGACATGTTAGTGGGAGGACTGTTTACGAGAAAAAGGGAAACAAATCTGACACTTGAGTTTACTAGGAAAGTTGTTGCGGGAGCACAGATGCTCATCGCTGCTGAATACGAACAGCTGAGGTCAGGGAAAGCAAAGCAGCCTTGAAGCAATTTTTTTATTTTTTTTTAACCGTCTGGCAGAGGAGAACACACATGAAATATTGTTACAGGTGAGCAGAGTGCTGCCCTCCTTCCTCACCTCCCTTAGGATTGTCTAATCCCCTGTCCTCGTACCAGGCTCTAATGAGACATTGCAGAGCATGCTCCTGTCCCACCTTCCTCTCTCCTTCATGGGTTCCCCCATGGACCTATGACCCCTCTTTTCTAGGCAATGGTGACAGTGACAGCAGCAGCTGGCAGGGCTTGGACTAAATGTCTGCTTCTCATGTCCTTTCGCTCTCCCTTGCAGTCATTGTGCTCGCTCCTCTTCCAGGCCAACACTTCTGTGTTTCACGCTTTTGCGTGGAGGAGGTGTAGCTGTGGAGCAGGCTTGGTCAGCGTGGAAGTACTGACACATGGGGAACCTGGGAAACTTCTTAAGGGTACTTTAGAAATACACATATTCCTGGGGGGTATAGAAGATCCTGTGACAAGAGGAGGATTGTTTGGGCTGAGTTGGGCTGTGCAGTTAGATAATAAAGTTCTGAGAGAAGAGTAAAAGAGACAAAGATAGTTGGAAGGGAAAAGGATATCACTGAGAAGACTGAGGAAAGGATATAAAAATAATATACACTGTAAAAGGGTGGGCTTTCAGATATAGCCGTTATCTTGAGTAAAGAGGAGAAAACTATAGGAAGACAGAGAACATACACAAAAGGTGCAACTGTTGGAGACCTGTGGGGAGAGACAATGGGGAATGTTGTAATAGGGTAATGCAGAGGTGACTGGAGATCAAGCTCAAGAAAAAACAGATTAAAGCAAGAAGCCAAACTAGAAAATAGCTTTTTAAGAACCAGAAGGAGACAGGAAGGGAAAAACTGGAACCTCCTGCTCCCACCAAACAGAAGGGAAAGAAAGCAGTGACAAAGATGAAAGAAAAGATGCATGCATTCACATGGTAGATGGAAAGAATAGTTTATACAATGAAATAGAAATGAAATGAGGGGAAGGAAGTTATACAGTAAATTCATGTTGATGGTGAAACATGATAAAATCCTTCTCTGCTTTTTCTCTGTGTCTGCTAAGTCCTGGAGGAGCTGTGATTCCTGCTCTATCTGAATGATACACCTGGGTCTTTCTGTTAGGAAAGATGCTCAAAGAAAGCAGCCCTGTGTTTTGGTTGATTTAAACTTTCATTTATCCTTTGTGAAATGCGAAATGCGAAATTAAGTGGTAGAGATGTACCATCTGCTGTTGTATAATAAGTGAATAAAAGCTAGCGTGTTTGGGCAATGTTTAAGCCTGTGATAAGAGCAGAAATAATAGAAATGTTATGTTGGCAACACCCAGCAAATCCCTCCTTGACTGAAGCGTCATGTTTCTTGTTGTGTTTTAGCACTGTCGAACATGATTCCTGAAGGAGGATGAGCATTTCCTCCTTGGCAAAGGAGCTGAGTGTTTTATGTCTGTGTTTTTCTCTTTTCTTTTAGGGATCTCTTGCTGTCTGTGGCGCTTGGCCAGGTACTCTCCCTCCTTATCTGTGGCATTGGTCTCACGAGCAAGTATTTGTCAGAAGACTTCCATGCCAACACACCTGTTTTTCAGAGCTTCCTCAATTATATCCTTCTGTTCTTGGTCTACACAACAACACTAGCTGTCAGACAAGGTAAGTGCCTCTTTGAAACCATTTTGTAGAGAACAGCGAGGTTAAAGGCTTTTGCAGAACAGCAACAAGCAATATGATTTAGACACATCCCACTGACATTTGTTATGTATTTACATCACCTAGTAATGCATATTGGATGAACTGAAAAAAAAAGACTAGATCTTCATTAGCAAAGGATGAATCAGTAGATATCAAGGATACTGGTGCTACCTAAAAGCAAAAAGAAAGATGAGTACTTTTGAGTTCCTAACTGTTCTTGTGGGAATGCTCCTCTTACACTTGCCGTGCTGGCACCTCAGCCTCACATTCAGGGTTTGTTTTAGGTTTGACTACATGTCTTGCTGTGAAATATTAGTATGCATTACATCCTATGTAGGCTAAGGAGAGCTCAAATGCAAGGAAGGAAGAGTTTGCTAGTTCTAGTTGCTGATCAAGGCAGTTCAATAGTTCACCTATTGTTAGAAAAAAAACAGCAGCCAATTTTTAACCATTGGGAAGTAGGAGATGAAGGGAGGGGATTCGAGATTCTGTCTGTCTAGGGTGCTGCGTGGGCAGAGCAGCTCTATGGCCCCACTGCTGCTTTGTGACGGGGCCTGTCTAGCCAATCTGGCCTTGAAGTGAGAAATGCATTAAAATGATGCATACAGAGGGGTTGGAATTAGATGATCTTTAAGGTCCCTTCCAACCCAACCCATTCTGTGATTCTATGAAGTACACTTTGGTACTGTGTATCAAATGATCCTCTGTTTGACAATATATGTGTAATACAGGGGGTTTGTGCCTTTCCTGCCCATCCCTCCTTTCTTTGAGGTTTCATTATCTAGATGAGGTGTGGGAGGTGAATGCATTTAAGTACATTTCTCACCCACTCTTTTTTTTGTAATTGTTTTGTTTATTCACCTTCACAGAACATGTGGATTGGAAGCAAAATAAAAGAGCAAAAGTATAATGTGCTTTCCTGACTCTGCTCTCCTGACATAAGGAGGGAAGGGCTCTATGAAGGAAAAGAACTACAAAATGTATTATGCTGTGGTACCTTTATCAGCATACTGAGAGGTTCAGATTTTCTTGGACAGACGAATGTTTCTGGATTGTTCTTTGATGTTACATCTTTTAATGGTTTGGGAACAACCCTGAAGCTTAAGTTCTTCACTCATAGTACAGTCTTGTGATACAATACTATAAAATGTTCCAAAACATCAAGGACTTCATTTCAATGCAAAAAATGAACAGTCAAGAATACACCGCTGAACTCCAGCGCAAAGTGCTTGAATGTATTACAACTTAAGTTTTATAAACCGTGGTCTCCATTGACATTCTTCAGAAGCAATGAAGGCCAATCTGTGGAGCAAATGTCAGCTCTTATGTAAGGAGAGATTGCTCAGGCAGTGTTTCGCTGTCGTGGTATTAGTTTGTATAGGGGGAAACATCACCACATGCTTTGCTCTGCAAAAGGTTTAAAATGTATATTAGTACCATCCTTCTGGAGAACTGTGTTTAAAAAAATTCTTCTGAGTGTAGGATTGCCTAGAAGTTAACAAGTTCTGTCCTAGAAATGTCCTTCTCAGGCCTGATTTAGATAGTGTGGAATCCAAGTCCCTATGGCTTTTAAATAGATTCTACTTTTTTGAAAATGCTAGCTTGTGAGAGGATATACGGGCCAGCATACTGCTGTGCATTACAGGGGTTTATTTAGAATAATGTTTGACACTTGGTATATATTGACATTTCAAAAATGCTATCAAGCACTCTGTTTTACACATATAAAAACATGTATTACACTGTACTTTATTTTTATAAATAATTTTCTGACTCTGTTTGAAAATGTAGTGGTGAACTAAAGAGAGTTTGTTGGAGCTACCTGTTGTGCCAAGATAGAAATGGGAAGTGAATGGGGAAAGTGTTAGGGATATGTGAAAAATATTTTCTGGACAAGTGAGGAGGATTGGGGAAGGTGTTTGAACAGGCCTGCGGTTGAATACAGAGCATACAGAAAAACAGAGCATAACGTAAAGAGTACCAGTGGAATAGTCTGGAAAAGGAGCTGTCAAAAAAAGAAAGATGGTCAAAAAAAATCCAGAACAAAACTGGCTACAGAAGCAATGAAAGCAATGATCCACGCACTCAGCATAACATGACTGCTGGATGGTGTAGCGCTACACAGCCCCCTCATTTACTTGGCATTTAATATTGCCAAGTGATTGAGCCTGACATTGTCTTTTTGCTTGTGTATTTATTCAAATTCATTATCTGTGTTTGTTCCACTAAGGCAGTTTTTCTAGCAGCTCTAATCGTTTGGCTTCGTTAACAGATGGAAATCACATAATAATGATATTAATTTTATATGGAATGATTCTGTTTTGAGTGCTGAGAACATCAGAAGGCTCTTCTTTCAAGTGCAGTTCTCCTACTCTGTGTGCAAGATTTAAGATTCTTTAAATTATCCTCTTTCTCCTTCAGAAATCAAAACATCATAAGTTGGCTGGTAGTCAAAAATAACTTAATGTCTTTTGCTTTGCTTGCTTTCTTAATCTCTGAGTTTTTTTGTGGAAACGTACTGGCTAAGGAGGAGTCACTTGAAGTGGCCAAAAAAACCCTGTAATTCACTGTAGGACAGAAAACGATAATTTCTTGAGACATAAGGAACTCCTCTTTCTTTAGAGGCTTCTTCCAAATTTTGATTTACTGTGGATCCTCTTTGAGTTAGCCTTCCCTCAGTGTTCAATCTCTTACTCCCTGTAAACTCCCTGAGTGATACTGAAGAGGTAGAATTTGCAGTGGTCTCTGAAAATCATCTTTAGCAGAAGATTAAAGCTCCTGATTCCTGATCTCTTCTGACTAAAACTTTCTGCAGTGAATGCCCAGCTTCCAGCAGCTTAAGTTACTCCATGGGCACCAGCAGCTTCCACTGCATTTTTATATTGTGGATCAAGATTTTTTTTCAAAACTAATTTTAATTTTGCTCCTGTAGTGGGAGCAAAAATCGGGACTACCACCTTGCAGTGAATCCACATGTGATCAAACAGTGTAGGAGATGCATAAATCCTGTAGGTGCCAGAATCTCTGGGTACTTTTAAGCTTCATTCCCATGTGAAAAGGAAAAAAAAAAAAAAAAAAAAAAAAAAGAGAGAGAGAAGAAGAAGGAAAAGCTTGTCCTGTAGCTCTGAGTGGGGAACCAGTTTGACGGCAGTAAAAGTGAACTCAGCAGTTTTTAGCATTGAAGCCGTATGAGTAAGACTTTTCATCATTATTGCAATTTTGTTCTCGTGACTAGAAATAAGCAGTGATGGAAGTCTTAAAGGAGATCTGTTCTTGTGAGATTTTCATATGAGCCTTAAAATGTGGATGCTATTGAGGTAGTGGTCATGAAAAGGGAAAGGATTTGGTCAAACCAAGATTTTTCTGATACAAAGTCCAACCACCTTTTCTATCAGCTGAATTCTGAAGTTTCTGTTGAATGATGAATCTGTTATCTTGAAAACACTCTTTTATTCTGGATATTTTAATGCTAGTTTTTTGTTGTTGTTGTTGTTACATGTAAATTTAAGTTGGACGTATTATTTCTCTGAAGAAGTGAGTGCAGAGGTTCTTCATGGTTAGGAATGCACACACTCAGGCATGCATAGGTGCCAGTAGCCACTTACCCACAAATACATATCCACTAAAGCTTCTAGTCCAGTGCTCATCAATGCACTACTTCTTAGGTCCAAATATAATTCTTTAAGTTTTCCTTGTATGAGAACAATGCTATAAAATTGATGTCACTGGTGCAGCATTATAAGGCAATAAATGTCATTATGTTTTATCTGTCTGATATGCCAAAAATTTAATAGATAATAAGGACCTCCTCAGTTCTTTCTCTTGAGGTAACTTTCTCTCACGCCAGTTGTTTTCACATTGTATTTGTCAATGGTAACACCTGTGAGTTGAGATGAAGGTTTTAACACATATTATCTCAGCTCAGTCGCCTCGTTGGCAGAGGATTCTGCTTAACAAAATCTTGTCAGGACACTTCCAGGTAGTCCTTTGGGTTGTGTGTTATTAATTGAGGAAAAGAAAAGCCTTGGCTATCAGGAAGAAAAGCCTCCTAACAGTGAAATGGAGCTATGGGAAGCAGAGCTGGTGGAGATTAGTTTTAACACCTTAAAAAGCAGTAAGTGGGAAATTGTCCATAGTGGACCAGAAGGTATTAATTACTAACGGTCAACACAGGTGCAAGCATCAGCAGCTTGCCACCAAAAATAAATTACTTCTAAAAGCCACCTCTCATATGCTACAAATGAAAACAACACATCTACTAGACATCATTAAAAACGGAAAAAATATGAAACTGCTATTTTTTTGTTATTCTGGAAAACAAGAAATGAGGGAGCAGTAGAGATCTTTTGAACAGAAGGGACCCATAAAGCCTTAAGAGCCAGATTCTGTGCAAGCAGGGCTCCACATTGCAAGCTGTTCCTTTAATTTTAGTGCGACAAGTTACCAGATATTTTCAGGCCACCATTACTGAAGGCTGGCAATGATTTGCTAGTTCAGAAAAGGTTTTATGAATCTGTGTATGTCTGGATGAATTCTGCTTCTAGTCTAAGTGATGAGGTTATAGCATATGTCAATGGAAATATGGTTTTCCCTAGAGTAACTGTAATGTCTTAGATTTGGCATATAATCAGATGTGATCTGTGCCCCTGAGTCAGCTAGAGAGTCCTGTGAGACTATTAGGGACTGCAGTCCTGTTATTTAAATGCATTTCTATCTAGGATTGGTTTGCGATGTTAATGCCTCAGTCATATGTAAATTTGTGATTTATTTGCTATTCAAATATGTATCTCCATTTCCATAAATGCCCCTTCCCCCCAATATCCTTCCTACTTCCCCAAAATTGACTGAAACAGACTACTTGAAGGAAAGTAGAACACTATATTGGAGTTGCTGTTTTACTGCAGTGCTTGTCAGCTATTTATTGAATGATAGAAAGGGTAAATATCTCTTTTTTTACTCAG